AAAAAAAAAGGACACGGCCTTCCACAAAGAAATCTACTATTGAAGGCCCCATGCATGAGCAGTCCCATTGAACATCAACGAGGCTATAATAGCATGGAACTGCAGGAATGAGGCCCTGAATAGACACAGCATAGTAAGAGATGGCAATGGGGGAAGAGGGGAGTGTATAGGAGGAAGAGGAAGGCTATAGCAAGGAAAGATTACAAGATGTACTTGAGGTTATGTCAGACCCCTTTTAAAAATTAATATATTTCAATTTGGGGCAGCGCCCAGTGATAGCTGGACTTGGCCTTGTATCTTCCTTGAGAGACAGACATTGCCTCACAAGCAATAAAAACCTAAAGTTGGTCTGCTTTGCCCTCTCCCTGCAGTCACAGAGAAAGGGTAGCCTAGGCCATGTTTAATGACTGCCTACCACACTTGGCCCCTGTTTGATTTCCAAAGAAACCGTTTTTGATAAGGAAAAGAGATTACAATTAGATCTATTTCCATGAGCCAAGTATTACTGAGGCTTCTCTCCTTCCTTAGTCTAAAATGAACATGGCAATAACGGGACCAGAAATTCTGCAACTGAATGGGAATTTTACTCGTTACAAATTATTGCTACTTTCCTATGTTCAAAAACAGCACAAGCATAACAGAGGGCTGGGATGATGCACAGCAAATTACATGTTTTGAGGGAAGGGGCAATCACCCTTATCAATTTCCTTCACGGTTTTTGAGTTGGAATATTCCTCGCTCCTCTAATACTGTATAAACTCCACAATGAAAGGCAGACTGACAGAGAAGGGGATGTTATTGTCTCAAAATAAATATCAAGTGGAGCTAGCTTGTCTGTGCTAAGCATTATCACATGATCACCAAAGACCAGTTTTAATGCAGAATCAGGCTCAAATTATCTGAAAAATTAGCAGTCAACATTTTCAGCAGGGCCAGCTCTGTTTCCACAATGTTGTAATCTATGTTTACTTCACTTATCTTTACTCTTAACCAAGAGAGGTTGTACAGACCTGGGGCTGATTTCTGCCTCTGCACTGACCTGCTAGGTGATCATGGGAATGTCACTTCACCTTCCTATGACTCTGTGGCCTGGTCTACACTGGGAGGGAATCAATCTTAAGTTAAGCAACTTCAGCTACGTGAATAACATAGCTGAAGTTGACGTACTTAGACCTACTCACCGCAGTGTCTTCACTGTGGTGAGTGGGCTGCTGCCGCTTCCCCTTCGACTCCGCCTCTCGCTCCGGTGGAGTACAGGAATCTAGACTAGACGCGATAAATTGACCCCCGCTGGATCAATTGCTGCCCACCGATCCGACGGGTAGTATAGACATACCCTGTTTCTCCTTCCCCCTTTGTCTGTCTGATCTATTCAGACTGTAAAACTCTCTGAAGCAGATACTGTCTCTTACTATACGTGTGGATAGTGCCTAGCACAGTGAGGTCCTGGCTTCATTTGGGGTCGGTAGGCACTATTGACATAACTGATTACATAGCTGATTTAAGGTTCCAAACTAATTTTAAGTGACTGAAAGGTCTGGTCCATGTTAGGACAAAACTAAACTATCTGCAACAGTGTCCAAAAGGCGTTGTCAAGTACTGCTCTGGCAGAACCATGCTGGCTATGGATTTTAGCAAACATTTCTACAAGTTTTCATCATTCCGTGGTAAAAATGCCTGAGACCTGTCTACAGCTACACTTGCACTGTTGCTGAAAAGCAGATACTAATCTTCCTACTACATAGTATCCATGAGTATGCAAAGCACATTACAACGTGTTAGTTTTCAGAGTTCTAGCCTGTTACAAAACACAGTTCCAAACCCTAGTGTGGTCAGATCCAAAGAGCAGAACTGGAAAGAATCCAATCATAAGACTGAGAAGAATAGAAAGCTATTCTACTTGTCCAAGTGTGGTCTGAACAAACACACCAGCTGGTTATGGATCCACACCAACATGCCAATCATTTGGCAAAACTTTTTGGATCTTCTTAAACAGAGAGCACAGCTATTTTAGATATTTATGAAAATATGCATTATCTGAAAGTAAAACAGGATGGAGAGAGAGAGAGAATGGAAGATAAGCTAAGTTTTGTAGGCATTTGGGGCATAAAAAGAGGAAAACCTGACCTTTCAAATGCATATATAGCAAGTCAAAGTCTGATACAACCCAACATTTTGTCCTGTCATCTGACATACATAGCTCAAAGCTGATTTGTAAGATTCCCTCCTGCCTAGAACCAAGGAT